CATTCATGAGCACTTCCTTCTGGCAATGTGGCAGATCCTGAAACAAGTATTTCCCCCAAAATTTTTTTTTTTAAATATCACAAAGTTTGCTCTAAAGTCCATTTAGCCAAATCTGCTGCTGCTGTCCACCACACTGACAATTGCTGGTGAATAATAGTAATCCTGAATATGAGTCTGTGTGAACTGAACACCTACTCTATAGGTTGGGCAATATTTCTTTAAGCCCTCTAAATTGCTAGGCATTGTAGATTGCCTGAAAATGAAGCCACAAAGCACTTGCTGCTTCTGCCTGGGAATACTGTCTTCAGATTCCAGTTCATCTTCTTCTGAAGATCTAAAAAAATAATAACCTTAGATGGAAAATGGAAATATGAAAATAAAACTAAATTTTGAGGGGAAGTATTTGAAAGTACTTATTCCAGGATTGCACTTGATATTGAATGTCCCAGACAGATTTAGTTTTGCTCACTCCATTTACTCAACTGGAAGATGGAATGATGCCGACGAGTGCTCTCCTTACAGTCTCAGGTAAGTTTATACATGTTTCTAGTTCCAAAGGTCTGCAGAATGGAGAACCCTATGTCTGCTCACACAGATGCGAATGTGTGTTGTTAGACATTAAAAAAAACCCCAAACCCCACCAACCACCCAACTATAAAGAACTGCAGATCTTGATATAAAAGACAATGCCACAAAAATTATCTAGCGCAAGAGGAAGAGCATAAAAGAGAGCAGTGTTGCATGTTGTCATGTTCAAGTGGCTATTCTAGCAAACGTGAGAGGCAGAAGAGAAAGTCTACACGGGAAAGAAGAAGAAATGTTTATTTGTTGCTTTATTGTGTCAGTTTACACTGGGTACTAAGAGTTGGAGAGGATGTTTGAAAAGGGAAGGGGCGGGAGGTTTCCAATTTTCTGAGAGATGTGGTCAGGATTGTAGATTTATTTTTTCCACGCTGGCTATTGCCTGGTGCTCTGACTGTGCATCTCACAGCCTGTTTCTGTGTAAGACGTGCTACTAATAGGAAAGTACATTCATTTCAGGCATACCATGACATAAAAATGTCAGAAGAAATTATTTCTTCTTGTCTGATAGATAGCCTGAAAGGCAAAGCAAGTTTATATGACTCTCGAAGGTCTGTAGACAAGAAGGTAACACCATCTGCAAGAAATATTTTATTTATTCAGGATTGTTTGTTGTATTTTAAAGTTTGCCTCCCACTGTCTTCTGACAAGTACGGAAGCAGCACTGGGTTGAAAAAACTTGTAGGAAACCATATATTTGGTATAGTGGTTTGGTGACTGATCAGCATTCTGTCTTGCTCTGCCACAGCCAATCTAACGAAGTGATTTATTTGTGTGCTTGACGATGAAATGCAAATCTTGTTCAGTAACTGCATTCAAACAGTTGTGTAGTACGAACTTATGAAACCACTCCATTGTACTGTTGGCTAAAATTGACCATCCCATAGATTTATCAGCAGAATGCAAAGTAATTACTTTATCACATCTAGCATTTGGGAACACAAGGAGAAGGGATTTGAAAAGCCCCAGCAGGAGATTAGAAAAAAGATGTGTGTCTGGCCCAGCCCTGATGGTGATTTTACCATTAAATTCACTGATAGCAGAATCAGCATTACGAATGTGACCTCTTACAGAGGTGTTTAGATATTATAAAGATAAAACATATAAAGGTAGTCAAAAAAAGGATTTCAAATGCTCGGATAAATATTTATAATTTTGCTGTCTGTGGTTTATGTGCTTACGTTCTGTTTTGATCTCTGCAGTCAGGAGCAAAATTGAGTATGACATTTGTGGAGAAAATAGAAGATGTATTTCACAGAGCTACCTGTTCAGCCACAGCACTAATTTTCCTGCAGCAGAAAAATGTTCAAGTGTTTTTTTAAAAAAATATTTAAAATGCATATTTTTAAAAAAATAATAAATCCATCCAGTATTTCTCTGGGAGGTGAATAGCTGCAAGAGGAAAGAAGTTCAGTACAGAGACATGGTGCCTGAGTTCTGTCGTCACTGCCAGTTGTGTATTTTCTGTAGAAACAGGTTAATGGAACCTAAAAATCTCATTTCAATGTAATTCAATTGCAGTACAAACTGACTGAATCCTTTTCTGCTTTGAACCTTAACTTTTTAGAATAGGTCTAAAATGAGGAAAGATGCTGGAGGTTAAGAATGAAAGAGCTTTTGTGACTCAAGTTAAAAATTGGCATAAATGTTTAATAAAATCAGGGATTCTTTCCACAGCTGATGTCTACCCCAGAGCAAAAAGGTAAATTACTAAAGGAAAAAAATTCAATTGCTATTGGATAGATGTACCACGGTATTTGCAGACACGTCACATTATGTGACAGCGGAGTATCTGTGAGAAAGAAGTCAACTTGCTTTGCACTGTTCACTTGCCCGATTGCTTGCATTGCCGCACAGGTGACACCACTGATGTGGAGAACATATGTACGTCATGGATCTTGTGGGAGACTTCCTTTTCCCAAAGAACTGGGGTTTTTTAAAGTTTGTAAGATCACAATTGCTTCATTAAAACAAAACAAGAAAACTCTCTACCTAGGCAATTTGCCACCTCCCTTGAAAATACCATGTTATGTCAGCATCATTTATATGGTTACATAGGACTCACCATTCAAATTATGAAACTCCCTCAATTTTTTGCAGAGGGGTCTTCTCAACTTGCCTTAGCTCCTGGTATCACCCTAGTAAGTCCAAGACTTCTCTGCAGTAGAAGGATCCCACTGTCAGATCTTAAGGGATAGTATTGTACAGTGTTAATGACCAAAAACTGTAATTATGTATTTTTCTTTTTCAGTTGCATTTTCAGGCCTTGGCTTTACCACCTTCTACTTAGCTGGAAAGTTACACTGCTTCACGGAAAATGGCCGGGGGAAGAGCTGGCGGCTTTGTGCAGCAATTCTCCCACTCTACTGTGCCATGATGATTGCCCTGTCACGTATGTGCGATTACAAACATCACTGGCAAGGTGAGTCATGGAGATACCTTTTTTTTCTACATTTTTTTATTAGCTTTGTATTTCTTTGATTATTTTTTTTCATTAAATGACATGAGGTAAAACACGACAGTATGCTATAGATTTTCCTTGTTTCTGGAGTGATGCTGAGGGTTTCAACATCTGAAAATACTGCAGGGGCCCTTTTCTATATTTTTATATACGCTATTTACATCATCATATTTACATATAAATCTACACCAGTGGGGTTTTTTACATCGTCATTTTTTACAAATACATACCAGTGCCGTAGCTGTCTTGGATGTATCCAGCCGTAGTCTGGATGTGGCCCATCAGAGTAGCTCTGTTGTGTGGCCTAGTCCTTGCCTACTGCTTTTCCAGGTACCTGGTGGGTGCCTGAGTGATTGCTAATACGTGGGTGCGTGTGCATCAGACTAGGCTGAAGCATCTGTATGTAGCTAGTCATGGCAGAGATGTGCTCAGTCATTTGCCTACGTTCTGGTCATTTGGTGCACGTGATGTAATACGCAGGTTTTCATTCAAATCAAAGTATATTGGGCGTGAGGTGGGTTCATGGCCCCCTTGAGAAGTATAGAGACATTGCACCAAGCTACATAGCACAGGTTGTAACAGACTCTGCCCACGCTGAAAACCTTGCTGCAAAGTTTGATGTTTTCTGTTCTCTTAATTTTTTTGGCCAGGGTTGTAATTGCTCCCATGGTGTCAATTCCACACTTTCCAAAGCCAGGTCCTACTTAAGGAAGAGAAATGTTTCATCTTCTTGTTACATCCTATTAAAAATTATTTTCCATAGCTTTGGGCTGCAGCTATTTCAGGGCTGATATTTTTTTTTATATTGACCGGATGTTAGCATGATGGATTCAGTATGATACCATGCGTGCGGTACCAATGCATATTCATTAATTTGTAACTGCAAATAAATGCTGAGTGTGTTCAATATGGATGAGTAGGTCATTGAAACAGCATGCAGTGTCTTTATTTATTTGTATCCACAAAGCTAAACATGCCACAGAGTCTTAAACCTTACCTTTCATAGCTTTAGGCTGCAGCTATTTCAAGGCTGATATTTTTTTTATATTGACCGGATGTTAGCATGATGGATTCAGTATGATACCATGCGTGCGGTACCAATGCATATTCATTAATTTGTAACTGCAAATAAATGCTGAGTGTGTTCAATATGGATGAGTAGGTCATTGAAACAGCATGCAGTGTCTTTGTTTATTTGTATCCACAAAGCTAAACATGCCACAGAGTCTTAAACCTTACCTTTGTGAGGGAATGACAGTTATTGACAGAACAGGAGATGGCTTGTAAGACTCTCACGGCAGAATTTGGTATCTTGGTGAGTTGTGTAAAATGTCTGATGAACCTGCATCCTTAAAAGTCTACATAGAATGGATGACGGGAATATTCTCGAGTGAAGCATCAACAGTCTGAAGGATGCTTAATCCGCATCCCTTTTTCATCTACTTCTTACTGTTTCTAGTGGAAACTTTGGATCTTCATATTACATGAGCATTCTCATGTAAATGAGGCATAGTTATAATACAGTGTCACTAAAGCAGATACCTTTCAGGAGGTTTCTTAGTGAGGTTGAATTAACTAGCACTGACCTTCAGGGCAACGGCACAGCGTCCTCTCTTCCCTCAGGGCAGGCACTTCTGGAGTGTGACACGAGTCAGACCAGCTGCATCTGTCACAGGAAGACTATTGTCCCAGAGTCCTTTAAAATGCAGGTGTGAGATGTAACTGATGTAGAAGGCTATGCTAGTTACTAATTACACAGTAATATAAGTTACCATTAAGTCAGAATTACACCACACCTTTCCCTCCCACACTGAGTCTTTCAGACATGGTCCTGGTAGAGTGTGTGGCAGGTTGTCCATGTGGCTTCCCTCCAGCGTCCACAGGTCACTTTACTACTGTCTGTCAGCATCTGCACTTTCACTGTCAGAAAATCCTACCATCTATTATTTCTCTTACCATTTCTTGACCCTCTTTTTCACCACCTTTGTACCTGCTTTTCTCCACTCACGTGTCCTCCTAAGTACCCCAACCTGTAATTACTTTTCCCCTATTTATCCCCATATTCCTATCAGAAATACCAGACTTGATATTTCTATTATTGTTATGTAGGTCATCTTGGCTTTATGTGGTATTGCTGTTATGGTACAGCTGCCCTTGCAAACTGTACTGCCCTCGAGGTCCTGAGCGCTCCTTTCAGTTACCTGCTTCATATGTATTGTTTACCTGTTTTCGAAGACATATCATTCTGTTGGTTCCTCTACATAGTTTTGATTAAGTACAGCATATCTCTGTCCCACTGAGTATTTCTTATACTGCAGTCAGCATACCAGAGCAAGACTCATCCATGCTTTTTCTTGCTCTGTTTTTTTTGTTTGTGCAGCATCCTGTTCTCCCATAGCTGCTTATTCACCAACCATTACCCTTGACATGTTCTTTAAGGAGTCTCCTGGTTTCCTGCAGAGACCTTGTCTTGTTACAGGGCTCATTACTCTTCTTTGCTCACCGACACTCGGAGTCGGAGAGAGCCTCCAGCACAAAGCTGCTGAACGTGAGGTGCGTGCCTCGCCAGGCTGGCGGGCGGGAGAGACGGCAGCTGCGGGTCTCGTGCTCAATGTGTGACGCTTGGCTGGTTTGAACTCTCTGTTAGAGAGTGTGAATGAGTGTGAATGGGAGCATACAGGTTTAGTCTCAAGTTTTGAACCCATCTTTGCAGATTGTGTTATTTCTTGCCAAAAGTAAGAATTATTTCTGTACTGACACACGTGCTACGAGGCAGATTATTATGGTGTATTTTATATATGATAGAAGAAAACTACACCCAAGGGGTTGTGACTGTGTCCATTACAGCCTCTCATATTTTTGTCTTTGAAGTTTAAGGAGATGGAGCTGAAAACTCAGCTCTCTCCAAGCTAAGAACACTGCTGGCAGGCTTTATGCTGCAGGTGATGACCTGTGCTTTTACCTGAAAGAACTGTGTTCTCAAGGGAGGGACTAGTTCACTCTGTAATACACAGCACAGAAGCTCAGGCCTCATCTTTTATGCTCAGCAGAGTCAACTGATTGTGATAAATTACTTATGGTGGCTTTGTGATAGTCTTAACTATGCTGTGTGGAGTGAACAAGAACCATCACTGTAACGTCCAAAACTTAGCATACTGTAGGTGAAAGATGGAGTGGAGTACCCTTACATTAAAAAGCCATTGAGTGGGCTCAGAACGTTAATATTACGATCACTTTATGAGCTCCCTTCACTCTGGCTGGAAAATGTGGTATTCAAGATCTTAGTGTTGGTGTTGGTGAATATTAGGATATTTTACTATGAATTGTGAACGTATTGACTGCTTTTAAGTCCCTAGATCTCTGTAGAGGCTTATAACTCTGAAAATGTTAATTTACTCATGAAATAAGTGGAAATTTTGTGTGAAAAAAGTAAAGCTAAATACTGAGACTGAAAAAATATTCTTTTTCCTATATTGGCAAAGTAAAAAAAAAAGAAAAAAAAAAAAAGGAAGCTGTGGCTACCATGAGCTCAAACAAAACACAGAGTTGCTGTCTTGAAAAACAGGAGTCAAAACAGCTGCCTGTGTGTTTGCTCAGTACCCCCAGTCAAGGTCAGTAACATAGAAATCTTTGGCATAACGATGATCTACTAGATGATCTTCGAGGTCCCTTCCAACCCAAGCCATTCTATGATAAGTCATGTAGTGAATTTATATTACTGTGGTGCCCAAACCAAGGCCCAGAGTTGCATAAATTTTTAAGTAAGTGTTTTGAAAGAAATTATCTAGGCAAGTTTTCAGGAAGTCTTGAAATACAGGGGAACGTATTTCAAGAAAAAGGCAGAAATCTGGTGTTTCTCCATAAAAATAGTAATCATAGCTTTGACCTCATTATTAAGCAAAATAAAAAACCAGCTGGAACAGGATTCAACCAACCACAGTTAAAGGAAGGTAATCTGAGAATTGCAACGAGCACAGGTTTACAGAAAATGAATCTTGTCACAATAACTAAATATTTTACAAGTTGATTGATGCAGTAATAGTATACTATAGTGAAAATTGTTGTCCTTGGTACCTTTGGTACCATGACAGTTTGACAGGGACAGTCCTAAAGGTACAAAATCAGTCACCTACCATTATGGGTAGGATAAGCTCCTGTCTGCTTGCAAATACTGTGTATACATGATCACCTTTTAATAGCTTATTTGAGTCTCTGTTACGTTTGTTTGTGATAGATTTATGATGTCATTTTGCATGTAGGAAGAGAACATAGGATTAGAAGGGACCTCCCAGTTTATTCAGTCTAGTCCTCTTCCTCAGCAGATAACTGTGACTTATTATCACATTTCTTAAATTTATCCATCTCAATCTTAATTTTTTCAGGTTTTATTGCCCTAGCTATTCCTGTTAAAAGTCTCTTCAGAATCTCACTCCTGTGATGATTACAAACCATTTATTACCCACTGAAAATCGAACATGCCCTTTGTCCTAATATATACTAGACTGACAAACTAGGGCATTTAATGCGTATTTATCTCTTTTAGACAAAAATAATTTGTATTGATTAACCCTTCTTTGTCATTAAACTCAATGATTTGCTATTTTTATTACACTGCGGTTTCTTTGTAACTGAAAGTAAAACACAGAAACACAGGTATAGACAGATGATACGGTGCTTAGTAAGCCTTGTTAAAATAAAACATGGTGTCAAGCCATATTCTAGCCAGTGCCTTTTGCCTCGCTTTTATTATTGTTTGTGTTCAAATCTGAGGCTTTCAAAGTCAGTGTGTATTTTCAGTGAAGTTTTTTGCTCTGAAAACGAAACACAAGATCAGGTGAGTGTATTAGCAAGAAGCAAGGAGAACCTGACAACAGAACAAAAGCTCTTACCCTTCGGGTGCTATGCGGTTCCCATGGAAAACTCGAAATTGTCCGTGTGTGAGAGTTGCAAATATCTCATTCAATGGCTTTATTTTATTTTATCTAATTTTATTTTCCAGTAGGAGTATGGGATTGTAAATAGCATAAAAGAAAGATATTCAAAAGGTATTAAATCAGATAACAGGCATGCTTAGTCTTTGACCTTTCAGGTGCTTTTAGGAAGAATTCAAATTGTTCTTGACAGCTGCCTTTCTCAGGGGCCTTTCAGGAGCTGGAAGTGAAATGAATTGTAGCTACAGTGGCCCACTTCCTGAAGGAAGATAACTTTTCATCTTAGATCCTACCCGCTCCCTGTCTGCATTGGAGAATGCCTTCTGGAATACAAAACAGTCAAAAGTAGATCTAGGATTTTAACTGCCATCTTTCCTGGGGGTACTTAGGCAGAGACAAGGAGCAGACTGTAGCCAGTGCAATAGTTTGAGGTGTACCTGTCAGTGGGAGAGCTCTGGATGCTGTAAACAGCATAGTTCACTGTATTGTTCATAAACAGACAACCTGGTGGTGGTCATCGTAAATCATGGCAAACTGAAAGGCGATGTGGGTTGCCTGCCCTTAAAGGCTGGTCAATGGTGAGCTGGGAACATCGCGAATGTTTAATGGCCCATGGAAACCATTCTTATTTCCCTTGTTCATCTCCTGAAACATAGCCAGCCATCTGCATTTGGATATTCAAAATGTTGGAGATGTCCCCCTAGAAATACTGATTTTATGTCTTCTACGTGATTGTGGTATTTGGCTCCAAATTCTTTCTGAATTCACATTTTCTGGATTAAACACTTCAGGTTCGCCAAAGGGCTTTTATTTACGGTTGTCACTACTTGCTGTCTTTTCCATGGTAACATACTTCTGGTTTTGTTGTTTTTCCTTACCTAGATGCTTTCGTTGGAGGGATCATTGGCCTCATATTTGCTTATATTTGCTACAGACAACACTACCCTCCTTTGGGTAATACAGCTTGTCATAAATCTTACGTCAGCCTGCTAGATCAGAACTCTGTGAAGAAAGAAGAGAGACCTACAGCAGATAATGCTACTGGCCTGCCTCTAGAGGGAATAACCGAAGGTCCTGTATGACTTTAAGAAATGTGCAGAATGAACTTTTAGCCTTCTCACATTTCCTCCAAACTGGTCTCTTAACACGGTGTTTCTTACTGTATGTGTTTTTTTTTTTTCTTTTGTTTCTTTCCTTTTTATAAAGAAAAATGAAATATTTTATTTTTAATGCCATAATATCATCATACTTTTAAAGTTAAATTTTGAGTTCATATTGACTTACTGAATTATCTGTTTTCAGTCTACTGCTGAACACACTACTTGAGAGAAGGGGAAAGAATATTAATAAAAACAATCTCATGTGGAGAATGGTAAAGAGAGTAATTTTAAGATGTGGTTGAGGATATAGTAGATCTGGAAACAGATTTTCTGAAGTACTCGTGTCTCCTAGAAAGTTCTTGTCATCTTCAGCACTCATTGATTTTGATGGGTGATGAGTACACACAGCACTTTTCATCAGATGTTCAGCATCTGTTGTGGCCAGCCATTTTGTTATATAATTTGATAAGTTGGGCATCATCCTTATGTTTATCTTGTTGCCTTCTAACATAAAAATCTCCACATGCTGGTAGAACTTCATATTAATTGTCAAGTTTCTACAAGGTCATTCTGAGCTACTAATGATCAAGCAACCAAAAGGTATGAATGGCTAAGTGTTTGTAAGAGCCAAGCCTCGTGCATTAGTAGTTCCACAGGATGATGCTGACATTCAAGAAATTCCACACTGTTGAAATTACCAGCTTGCAATAACATATATGTTCATAGGATGGATTAGAAACTTGGTATTACATCATTAGCAATTTTTGAGAGCTCTTGCAGTAATTACCATCAAAGCAAAATGAAAGAAAAAAACACCCATGACATTCAACAAGCTGAAGTCTTGAAAAGAAATTTTAAAAAAATCCTAAAACTGTGAGGATAAAGAAACACAATGTTTTCTGTGAATCTCGGTGTGCCATATTCATTCTTGTGTAGTGACTTGCTGCAGCATTGGTGATCTAAAGAAATGCAAAGATTTTCATTTGTGACTTTGGGCGCACAACCATGAATGCTTGTGGTGGTCTCCAGCACTGTAACATATCCAGAGGAATGCTGGAGACAGTTTCCACTAGACCCATTCCACATTTTCAGCTCATCATGTTCTTGAGCATGATGCTTGCGAAGGTTGGCTTGGTACCTGAATTGAAACTCGCCTGAATCAAAACACTGTTGGTATGGAGAAGATTACTAAGTGTGTGACTTTAGTTCATTTATTATTGGTAGGATCCTGTTTTGTTATGTATGCACCATGCAGTATACATCACATTCCTGTGAAATGACGTACCTTTGGATGGAAGAATGTCAGATTCCAGAATTTTTTTTTCTTAGATATCCTGTGAAAATGTAGGCAAATGTTCCAGACCACATCTTGGCAGTTGAACATTTCTCAGCTGGAGCCGCTGGTTAAAGCGATCAAGATAGCATTGATCAACGACCATTATTACGGTGCTTTAGACTGGAGGAGACTGCTGCCATAATTATAATTTATGTGTTCCTGTTGGAATATGTATTGGCCTTGTAGGCATTTTGTGATTCAAACAGCTCAATGTCTTTATGTAAGGCTTGTCATTTACTTTTCTCAAAGGTAAGCTTTGTAGACTTTCTGAGAAGAGCTACTTCCTGATTGGCAACACTTGAATTTTTATAGAAAGCAAGTAAATTAGAATCCCTTTAAAAATAAATGTAATTATTGTGTACGAGAGGATGCAACCTTACTATGTATACGCTTACATGATATTTGAAAATAACTATAAATAGGAAGTGACATTAAGGAACAGAATATAATAGGCATGAACCCAGGAGGGTTCTGTAGAAATTAGGCCTGATCTTGTAAAATTGGTACTGGTTTGACTGTGTCAGTTAGAGGTAGGATTTTTTTACTGACAGTTGCAGTATTCTGAGCTCTAGAATAGAGACAGTTACCCAAACATAACTGGGGTTTTGCTGATGTATATATGCTAGTTCATAAAACTAGCATCAGCAAAGCAAAATTATTCTGGCATTGCATTTGCACTGGATGTGACGGAACACTCCTCTAGTGTAATTGAGGTCTTATTCTAGAAATCCACACAGTTTAGTGGAAGTTTAATCTTTCTATAAAGTTTTTAAACCATCCTACAGAATTCTGTAACAGGGATATCATTTTCTATTACTTCATATGGGAGGATTAATGAAAGCCCTAGAGTAAGGGTATCATGTCTTTACATTGTATAGGGCTCAGCCATTAGCTTTTTCTTTCAGCAGGACTTCCAGGTTATATGCAAATGTTAAAAAAAAAAAAAAATCTAAAATCAAAATTAGAAGTTTAATACTGATGCATAGAGCATTTTGCATGTTTTTATATAGATCTGGCTTATTCTCAAAAATGAGTGGGGCCTCCTAACTGTGCTGTACACATTCCCAGTATTTTAATGGCTTTTGATACAAACAAGCTATCTTCTTTGGGATGGGAAAAGCTTATACAGCCCTCAAATGAGTAGTGGATGTTAAAAGATTGAAGTGTAATGCAGCATAAATACTTACATCGCAAGAGTAATTGGTGAACTTTGCAAAGCAGTAAAGAATAACATTTTAATGGGAATAATTAAATTGAAAGTCATAAAATAGACAATGTAAAAGCTTTGATTAAAATGTAATTAAAATTATGAAAGACTTAATGAAGTGAAACGTGCGGAGGGATCTGTAGGCACTGTAATTACCAGTGCAAAGTCAGTGTAGGG